AATTTGTGTGTGCGCACCACTCATGTTGTTACAATAAATTTTTTTTTTTATTTTCATAAAAAAAAGCCTACAAATGAAATTGTTATCAAACAGATCTAAAATTAACTAAATACACAAATGACACCCACAAATTAAGCTGCTCATTATGTGGCTTTACCAAATTCCTTATCCTCTTAATGTAAAAATATCGATGTACTAAAAAAAAATAACACCCACTTCACACATTACATATCAAATGTTTTCTTAATAGAATTAGTTCTACTGTGAGTCTAAATTAATTGTCAAACATCATTAATTTAAAATGATAGTCTAACATTGTGTTATTTAGTGAAGCAATTTAACGAATGGAAATAAATCGTTAAATCAAACCACACCATTCGGCCCAGTCTGGTACCCTGAAATATATTTCTTTAAGCCCCAATGGCCATCACGACAAATAATTGTACACCTTTTTTCCGGTAATATAAGCAATAACACATTGAAAATTAGCTTCTGAGTCCTGACGTGCCAACACGCACGTAATAGGGGATGAGAAAGAGAAAGATAGGCAAAGGAGTGAGGGATCGGAGAGTTCGCTTTAGGTTAACATGTCGGGAATAAATGATGTAAAACGGGCCTACAAATATATGATCACAAATATTTTTCTATATACAAATTTAACAGAGGATGCGATGCAGTAGTTGTTGAAGAAGGAGGTGCCCACCACAGTGTACATATATTTATAATCTTTATTAACTATCTGTTTAATTTCTTCCTTCACACAGTGGAAGTTTTAATTTTAAAGCTTATTCTGGACAGCTAACGGCTATAAAAACAGATCCATTAATTATTTTTTCTGTTATTTCTTATATTCTATCGTTTAAGTCGGAACTTATATCTATGTGTCTGGTATATTTTTAAGAGAACTTTAACTCCAAAATGTTTTTTGTTTTGTTTTTGGTACTGTAAAAAAATAAATTTACTTGAAGAATATATGTATTTAACATGTTACGTGTATATATTACAGAATATTATACGTACAGAAGCTTTTTTAGTTAGACAAATTACACATGCATGCAGACAAACACATGTAATCAGTTGCCTGCAGTTGGTTAGGGTTTTATATAAACATCGTCAACTGACTAAAATGGTCCTATGACAGAGAAGCTTATACTGTATTAAAATATTAAGGGAACCATATATTTTTGTTGGTGATCAATGCATTATTTACCAAGAATTCTCTGGTCTTATCCACGACTCGTTTTATAATATTACAACTTGAGGCAAGACGCTTAAGAGAGCAAAACGCAATTATTCTGGTTAATTATAGCCAAGTGACGCTATGATTAATATATGTTTAATGTGAACTTCAACTAATAATATGAATCACTATGATTAACATATATTTCATGTGAACTTCAATTAATAATATGAGTCATGTAGCTACTTGTTTTTGCCAATAGTATTGTCGATCCAAAATCAACTTGTTGGAATAATAATTGAGATTTTCCATCACTTTCGAAGCATACATGACATGCCAAATTAACAAATTAGAAAATTAGTGAAAATTTTAATTAAAAAAAAAAAACTATCAACAAATAGATGGAAAGTTGGAAACCACATGGAACATAAAAATGTCTCAGCACAAACTTAGGGCATTTTGTAACATGGTTTGTAAGCTGTGAATCTCCTTGATTGTGGTCACCGGAAGGGTGCAGGTCCGAATTAGCCTCTTCAGGGTCCGGAATGAGTGGATATAACTATGGTTCGTCACTAGTTATCCCCAAATTTTTTTAAAGGGAAAAATCATTGACTAATGAGTTGTGATTACTAAACAATTAAACCAACACCAATAACAAGTAACACTAACATAAGAGTTGGTTGGTATGTTATTTTTACAATTAAGACATTAATTTTACGGTATATTTTCAGCTAAGTACATACCAGTCGGTCTCTTCACTATAGCTCGACTGTATTATCTCTTGTTAATTTGTTTGTTTTTCGTAAGTCCTAATAGAGGCGTTTACATCATTTGCAAGAACATTAAGTATTGTAAGACAAGGAATGATGGAGCAAAGGAAAACACTACTAATTATCCCAATTGTTTCATCATCTAGAACACGTAAAAAAATAATACCTTCAATTGAAACATTGATACATATTTCATCACAAATCATAGTTATAAATAATCTGAATCTGATATTATATTTTGTTAAAGATTTCATATTATGATGTGAATTAAGATGATAATATCTATAAAAAATATTATTCATATAAATAATTGTAAAGACAAAGTATATATATGGATAAGTCATTTTCCTGTGGGCGTGCTTTGAAATGTGATGGGGTATAGTACATGGTAGGGTTTGCTACATGAGGAAAAGGATAAACCCTAAAATCGGCGCGGGAAGAAAGAACAAAGAAGGCCACCACCAGGTCTACCACCCACCAGAAGCCAGAAGCAAAGAGAAGGTCAGGTCATCCTCCACCTCCTCGACGGCTTGCGTGGCAAAGGATAATGTACATCTCTACGCGAATAAAAGTCGCGGTCTTCCTGAACCTCGTGACACGTGCTTGAGAGCCATGGAGTCGACCCCTCTCCCAAATTAAAATCTTAAATTTGAAAGTGTGAGATAGAAGAAACGAAAGAAAAAGCTCGATTTCTTAGACGGCAGGCAAACATCCCCCCAGGAGCTTAAGAAACTATTATTTTAGGTGTATTTGTTTTGGTCCATATTATTTATCAATTTTGTTGTTGTATTATTTGTGTTTTTATTTATTTTCTACTTTACTTTGGGTTTTTGTGGATGCAAGCAACTGGAACTAAGAAATTTTATCCAACAAATTAAGTATTCAATAAGTATAACAAAATCCGTCTGGAATGCACACAAAAAAGTTGACAACTTATATTTATGCAAAGTCATGTATGAGTTTAGAGTTTAGGCAAAGTCATATTTAGCAATAATTTGACAACAACTCTCTGTAACATTTTGACTCTCCCATCGCTTTTAGTCAAATATATATAACTTTTATAATCTCAATGAAGATTGATTGAAAAAAGAGGATTTGTCAGCAATGAGATTCATGGACCTGTAAAAACTAGTAAAAAGACAAAAACCTTCTCCGTAAGTCCTCAAAGTGACTTTAAAGTCCTGATCTTGAGAGGGGTAGTCTCCCCTCCCCCAAAAACAGCCTTAATACGTATTGGGCTCTATGTCCCACATTCTCAAATAAGCAATCCTAACCGTTGGATAAAAGACAAATGCTAATGAGACTCTCTTAAAAGTAGGATTTTCTGCCACCTCATGCTTTTGGTACAATATTTTATAACGACACAAAAATTAACTTTAAACTATGAGATGACAGAGAGTTAATGAAGAGTCTCACTTTTAAAAAATCCCCTTTAACATTTATACCAATAAAATTGTCATCAAGTCCCAAGGAATCCACAAAAACCCACATATTAATTAGCAAAACAATATTTCACAACTCCAAGATAAACATCAGCCGTCCATCTACTGATCTTGGCTAGTGGACGGGTGTAGATCTTGCAAGCCTCATGGGCATGGAATCCACCATTACCACAGGCAACATCAATGCATCATCCTCAATGCAACGCCGGGATGATCTCAATCTCATAATATGCTAGATCCCATACGTCATTCCCCATGCATCGAAAACCCATGGGCAAATGCCATGGCGCCACGTGGTATATTGCCATACACGATTCGCTAACGGCGTATGCTAGCACCAACTAACTTGCGCCTATTTAACCGTTGGCGTCGAGGTGGAGTCCATGCAGCAGCTCCAGTAGGCAGTCCACGGTTCCCGATAATCTGATCTATTAATTAAGTTAATTAACCAATATTAATAACTAATATAATGCTCTTACCTGTTGCGCGTGAAATGTGGGGCCTAATCAGGGGGAGGCGACGCCGTTTTCAATGGACACGGAAGTTATGAGAGGGGGTCGCGGCTCAGGGGCCTGTGCTTAATTCCCTCAGACGGGATTGTCCCGTGATTAACGGCGTTAGGAGCGGGTACCTTTAAGGAGGCCCATGAATTACGGTGGGGCCCTTCAACGGCTACTTGGGATTTATTTTGATCCCAATCAAGATTCCTTGTAATATCTTAGCATCTCTCTTAGCTGTGCCCATATGTATCTTGCTAGGATCCTGCATAAACCTAGAAAGTAGGCTTGCTGAGAACATCACTCCGGCCTTGTTGTAGTTAGATACAATAGAACTGCCAACAATGCTTTTATAGAGACTAGCATCTGCAGGTTCACTTCCATCCTCATTCTTAAGCTTCTCATTTGCAATTAGGGTGGTAGAAACTGGTTTGCAACCCTTCAAAACGAAATTTCTCAAGCAAAGTTTCAGCATATACTTCTTTGATGAATAAAGATGCTGCTTTACTTCTTGAATTACCCCAATAGAAAAATGATGCAAGAGGCCTAGGTCAGTCATTTCATACCTCTTCATCATCTTTTCTTTGAACTCTTCCATCATTGCAGCCATCATTTCCAGTGTAGACAAACATCATCCACATAGATTGAGACAATGAGTGTCTTGTTGTTGCTTTCTATCTTGGGTGTAGTGTAGCTTCACTAGGGCTTTTCTGAAATCCTTTCTCAGTGAAATAGGAATCAATCTCACTGTACCAAGCTCTTGGAGCTTGTTTTAGGCCATAAAGGGCCTTCCTTAACTTGTACACTTTTTCTGGAAACTCTTGACTTGTGAACCCTTGAGGTTGTTCCACAAACACCTCATCCTCTAGCACTCCATTTAGAAATGCAGATTTAACATCCAATTGATGCCAGCTTCCAACCCTTCTTGGTTGCTAGGGCTATTAAGGTCCTTATGATGTCTAACCTTGCTACTGGAGCAAAGGTTTCATTGAAGTCTACACTAGGCTTCTGTGAGTAACCTTTGGCCACTAACCTGGCCTTCTTCTTTTGCACAGAGCCATCTAGATTTAGCTTCACTTTGTACTCCCATTTTACACCAATCACAAGCTTGTCACTTGGTCAATTTACAAGTTCCGTCATTCTTTTCTATCATTTCAAGCTCTTCCTTTATTGCTTTCTTCCAAGCTTTGTCTTTCTCAGCTTCTTCATATGTTTCTGGTTCTACTACACAATAATTACATGTAGCATAAATCTTATCTAGGTTTCTCAACCTTACTGGAGTTGAACTAGGAGTTGTTGTCTGTGATTGACTTAATTGTGGACTCATAGTAGCTTGCTGTGGAGTCCCTTGTATGTCACCATTATCTGTGACTTCTTCTTGAACTGAGGTCTCCATAGGCTCCCTTGTTTGCCTTTTGCCTAGGTCAATTTGTAGAGAGACACTGTCCTTTTCCTCTAACCATTGTATCCTAGTTCCACATTGAGTTTTCATCAAAGATAACATCCCCTTGATAGGATTATCTTCTAAGTCCAACACATTATAAACTCTGTATCCTTTCTCACTGGTACCATAGCCTACAAAAACACCCTTGTTACTTGATTTTCCAGTTAGTGAGAGTGCCTTAGTTAGTGAGGGATGAGAGTGTAGCACACTAAGCCAAACACTCTCAGATGCTTCACAGAAGGCTTCCTTCCACTGAACACTTCAAATGGAGTCTTCTTCTCCAATGCTTTAGTAGGACACCTATTCAATAGGTACACTGAGGTGTTCACAAGCTTCACCCCAAAATTTATAAGGCATGTTCTTCTCATGCATCATAGACTTAACCATTTCGACTATAGTCCTATTCTTCCTTTCTGCAATCCCACTTTGTTGTGTTGAATATGCCACAAATGATGAGTTGCTTCTCCAACCCCACATCTTCACAAAATGCATTGAACTCATGTGAGGTGTACTCACCTCTCCTATCACACTTCTCAGTCTTTTTGATTGGGTATCCACTTTGCAATTCCACCATTGCCTTGAACTTCTTAAATATTGTGAATACCTCAGACTTGAACCTCATGAAATACACCCAACATATCCGTGAATAGTCATCAAATGAAAGTTAGGAAATACTTGTTTCCACTGATTGTTGTTGTTTTCATTGGTCTACACACATCTGAGTGAATCAATTCGAGTGGCTTTGTTGCGCCTCTCCAAGCCTTTCCAGCTTCAAATGAATCTCTGTGATGCTTGCCAAACACACACCCTTCACAGGTTTCATTGCATTGATCCATCTTTGGTATACCTTGCACCATTTCATCCTTTTGCAGATTTTGTAAGTTTGTCATGTTTAAATGACCGAGTCTCTTGTGCCATAGCTTCATAGAACTTGTCACACTTGCTCTCTTTGCCATTTCTTCTAAGTACTTCAGCACAAGTGGAAAGCTTCTGTTTTTCACTTCCACTTTGGTCACCAAGTTTGATAGGGATTTGTCATCATAGATCTCAACCACAGTTCCCTCAAAGAGTAGGAAATAGCCATGCTCCATCATTTGACCCACACTAAGTAGATTCTCATCCAATCCAGGCACTAGCATTACCTCCCTTATGCATCTTCTTCCTTTCTTGGTGTTGATAACCAGAGTTCCTCTTCCAGTGGCTTTGACAATGTTTCCATCTCCCATTTTCACTTTTCCAGTGAAGTTTGTGTCGATGTCAATGAATAATGACTCATGTGCAGTCATGTGGTTGCTGCAGCCACTGTCAATGTACCATACTTCATAGTTTCTCTCCACTTTTGCATTGAAAGCACATAACACATTTGCTTCTTCTTCCACTTTGATTTGCACAGTTCACTTGTTGCACATTCTTTTGATCTGCAGTCCTTCATAATGTGCCCAAACCTATTGCATTTGTGGCATCTAGGCTTGTCCTTGAACCAACACTCCCAAAGATGGAATTTATCACAGTGCTTGCATTGTTGCTTGGTTCTTGGACCTGCATTGATGTTGCTGCCTTAGTTAGGTCTTGAGTTGTGATACCCTTTTCCTTCCCATTTCTTGTTCTTGCCCTTCCATTGTGGTTTCTGATTGCTTGCACTGGCTTGACTATTAGATCCAACATTGAGTGATTGAAAAGCTTTCTCAAGTGCAGAGTCAGCATGCCTCTCGAGCCTTTGATCAAAAGCTCTTAAGGATGCCATCACATCTTGTACACTAAGAGTTTCAGCGTCTTTGGTTTCTTCTATAACACTCACTATTGAATCATAGGGTTTAGTCAAACTAATCAACAGTTTTTTGATAATTCTTTCATTAGGCAGTTCCTCACCATATGTTTTCATCTTGTTTACAACATCAAACAGCCTAGTGAAGTAGTCTTTTAATAGCTCATTTTCCCTCATTCTTGTATACTCAAAATCTCTTCTAAGGGACTGAAGTTTTACCTTTCTAACTTTAGTGTCTCCTCTGTACCCTTGCTGTAAAACTTCCCAAGCTCCTTTTGCAGTCTCTTCATTTGCTATCCTCGGAAAAATGGTGTCTGAGACAGCACCTTGAATGATTCCAAGTGCTCTAGCATTCTCCATCCGATTCTGCTTCAGTGTTTTGAGTTGTGTTTCTATGAGATCCTCCTCTAGAGCATCGATCTCCATCTCAGGTAGTTCATACCTGTGTTGAACCATATCCCATAGATCATAGGATTTGAAAATGGTTGTCATTCTTATTCTCCAAAAATCATAATTCTCCCCATCAAAGACTGGAGCTTTTAGGTCAATGCTACTGCTGGATCCTTTCATTTCAGGGTAGTTTGTTGATTGTTGTTGTAGAAGACACTACGTTGGTACTCCCAGAAATCTCTATTTGCACAGATTACGCCCAGACTTTTTTTTTTTTTTTTTTTTAAGATCAGTAAACAAAGCTCTGAGGCCATGATAAAGTTTGTTGATCTTGTGTTTTTTGATTGAGTGTTTGAATCGGTTTCTTTTGATTAGGATGGCAGAGAAAATTGGAGAAAACTAGGAGGTTGGATACTGGCTTAGCAAAAATGCAGCAGCCTTGATTGATTAAGTAAGGTGAGATTTTACAAGGGTATGGTGCATTGCCATCACCCATACTTGTTTAAAAAAATGATTGACAAGAGACTTTAACAACCATTTAAGTCTTACTACTCCAGATTACATCCTAACCCTTCATTTGGGGGGTGATTTAATCTAGAGTGTACACTTGTCACTCACACACTTACACCCACATTTAAACAAAAATAGCCGTTGGAGACTAAAACCCTTCATCTTCTTTCTTCTTCTTCGATGCAGACAACACCCTTTGCTCGGGAGCCCCTTGCTGCCTTCGACTTCTCGACTCCAGGAGCTGGTTAACTTCCAACAACATGAATTAATCACTTAACTGGGAATACCTTAACCTTTCTTATTTTGTGAATGAAACTACTTCTATGTATATAAACCCTACTCACTTGCTTCAAACTTTCTTTCATCTTTGTTTCCTTCCCTTGTATGTGTTTTGGAGAATGATGTTAATAGTTGAAATGCATATATGGGGTTCAAAATTTATGGTATAACTGTATATATATATATGAGACTGTGATTTGTAGTTAAAATTATCTTATATACAAGGTAGTATTATGAAAATATTAGTGCAAAATCTCACCAAAAATAGAGATTCTTTACACAGACCAAAATTTTAAACCAAATTTTGTAAACCAAATGATGTGGCTGTTGATGAATTAGATTATTAATTAAGTGTTAATTAATGTACTTATTTTCTATTGATGACACATAATTTGATTTGCAAATCTAATTTAAAATTTTGGTCGGCCTAGCACTACCATTACCCTTACAATAATTTTGTGTCCACCGCATACTCATTACAAAAAGCACAAACATACAAACCCTACTATGTAAAAATATATTGTTCCGATACTTGCACAACCAACCATACAAGAACTTTTACATAATTAAAAACTTAAACAAACATGTAAAACACTATTTCGAAGGTAATTATAGACGATTTGTAGTTAAATATAGTAATTAGCTTAAATCAAGGTGAATACTTTGTTTTGAAGAAGAAGCTGGGGGGATTCCGGGCATCCGATGCGCAGGTGAGACTGGGAATGGGAATGGAGGGAGGAACGGGAGGGTTGGAGGTGGCGGTGACGGTCAAAAAGTGAAACTAGATGGGACCCATTCTCGTAAGAGAAGAAAGAGGGAGAAGTAGAGAGAAAAGGGGAAGAGTACATAACACTAAAACATTCAACATTTCATTCATAATTCTCAGATGAGTAGGAAGAGACCTAAATACATAGAAGTTCAGGAAACTACAACTCAGAATACCTAAATGGGCTTATTATACTTAAACGGGTAGCACCCAATAGGATAGGAACCAGGTATAGGAGGCAGGTTTACGGGAATCATGGTGCTGAAACTGCTGGTGGAGAATCTAGATTGGTCACTTCTTTATTATCACCTAGTTGCCCATTCTTTGAAGTTTTGCAGTTGCAGGACCCACATGAAGGTTTTCCACAAACATGGGGCAAACCTGGAGTTCCAGGAAGTCCTGGGAGACCTGGGAGGCCTGGGAGGCCTGGGAGTCCAGAGAGACCTGGGAGGCCTGGGAGTCCAGGGAGACCTGGGAGTCCTGGAAGACCTGTACCTGGGACGCCTGGAAGACCTGTGCCTGGGAGGCCTGGGAGACCTGGGAGACCTGGTAGTCCTGGGAGTCCTGGGAGATCATTTGGGATGAGAGGGAGATCGGGCATTGTGGGGTCCACCTGAGAGGGGGATGGGAACGCCATCTCATCAGTAGGAGGGAATGAGAACTTCTGGGAATTTAATTTTTTGGAATTCTGAATGCTGGGTTTCTGGTTGCATAAGCTGGGTTGCTTGGGAGGCTTGAAGGTGAAGAACCCAGCAGAGAATATGTGGGTCCCTTGCTTTCTTGCCTTGAGATGTAGGGAAGATGAAGTAGCTGATGATGCCACAGCACAGTAGGGTTCACTGCTGCTGATTAGTTTCACGGAGCATCCTTCAATTTTCTTGACATGTTTACTCACTGAGAAGGGCAGTTGGACTTTGATTTGTCCATGGCTATTTGTTTTCACTTCTGCCTTGAAACTTGGTTTTGTTGAACTCCCATCTTTGCACTCCACACCAACAGATGCCCCTGCACAGAAACCCCACCAGATTATTGATATTGTTGATAATGCATGCATAACATGTTGGGACGTTTTGTTGACTAACAATAAAATCGAAGTTACTGATGACATACATACTTGGCGACAATGATATCAACACATACAAATGACATATCCTCCAACTTTTATTCAAGAGAAATAATATCCCTACACTCGTTGTATGTTGGAAAGAAATCGCGATTGAAAGCAGAGTCTTACCGGCAAGAAGTTAGGCGAGATTTTTTTGTAATTGATTTGTTATTTACTTTTCATAGTTGTATAGTTGACTCATATACAGGAAATACTTGTATAAAGGTTTTTAGTCATTTTCTTGGATTTTACTTTTTTTTTTCTTTTCATTTTGTACCCTTTTTATTTCTTTCTTCTGATTTTCTTTGATTCATTCGAATTTAAAGATTACAAAATAAACATGAGTGTAAGGAGGAGAAGGTGTACGGAAATCATTGAAAGGATGTCTGTTTTATAGCCGGACTACAATACAAAAATAAATTTGATGAAGAACTTTTTGAAAATTTGAGATGAATTTACCTGAAATGAAATGGCTGGTATGTGAGAAATCCTCTTGGAAACATGTGTCACAGTAGACAGTGCCTACAACAACTGCAGAAGGATCGTTCTTCTCATGGCTAGCCTCTGAAGGAGTATGAAATGTAAGAGCAGTAACAAGAAAGAGAACTGTAAAAAACCAAGACATGGTTTTAGAGCCTATCTATTCCCCCTCTAAGAAGCTCTGATATTCTTGACTAGAAGAATGAGTTGATACACGTTGCCTTTAAGTTATATCAAATGCTGAGTCCTTATAACTAATGTAAATATTCTCTATAGGATTATATACACACTTTAGATGTACGCAAAAATTAACTCATCAAATTGATTGTGATTGACAGACAAATAAGGAATGACTATTTTCGAATATTATGTAGCCTGGCGTCCATCAAGCTACAGTATTACACTCATGGAAAAACCAGTCAACTGCAAATAAGAAGAAGTGAATGTAGCTAGGTTTCATTCCCTACCACCCAAACCATACAAGAAAAAAAAGGTAATATTTGTGATGGTGGGGAAGTAGATAAAAAGAGGTCTCCAATTTTTGTGTTCCTGTGTGTTTCGTTGTTCTTTCTTTGTTGCTGTAAGAACGCCAAGGGAATACTTGGGTCCCGGTTAGTTGAGAAACTTGAAAAAAAAAACTGACTTTTTTTCCTAACTAATTGTATTATTAGTGTTTGTATCTACTTACAGGTTGATCAATACACGTACAACTCATAATAATTATTGAATAAAAGAAAGAAGTTTTCGTTTTACTAATGTAATAAGAATGTTGACTGTTTACTTGTATTGATGTTTTGTGTTCGAAATAGTCAGTAATGAAGAGAGAATGCATGGGATGCTTTTACTAACAAAAAAAGAGAACGGATGGTTTTGTCCAATTTCCTGTCACAAAAGACATGTCTTCTCATCACGGGCGAGTTTAAGCCTGCCTTGCGGGGGGAGCGAGGTTCAAGGACTTTTTCATGTCTCACCAATTTCCAAATGGTGACATATGGCATTTTCCCATTCTATATGAGTGAATTTATGCATATTTTAAGATTGTAGGATGTACCAGACCTACTAGCATAAGAATAAGAAAGAGGATTGTTATTAACATTTTAAGGTAATTATCATGAACTCCTCATAAATAATATCGAGACTTGCGAGACTTGCATTGGCGAAGCCACAGAGGTGTGTTCGCACCTCCGGTCGCCGGAGTTTGTTCCCAAAATCCTGGTTTCCACCCCTCTGATCTGAAGAAGAAGAAAACGATGGAGGAAGGAAATGTTAGAGAATAATTAACACTAATAACTAGTTAATTAGTTAATTATATGAAGGCAACATGAATTTTTCATGGCATAAGAGAAGACCATGCATGTTACTGTTGGAAATTTTGAGTAGAAATTTTTTTGTCCCACATTGGCCATTCCCAAAAGATTTTCTAATTTTATAAGGCTTTGTCCCTTATAGAAAGTAATTAGAGTAATAGGCCTTGAAGAATAAAACTGGGCTCACTCTTGAGGTTAATTGGGCTTGGGACTTTGCAAATTAAATTATTTAATTAATTGTTTTTAATTAATTTTGAATTTAATTAAATTATTTTTTATTTGAACAGACTCAATTGAAAATTAAATTCTTTAATTAATTTTGAATTAAATTAAATTATTCTTTATTTGAACAGACTCATCTTTTCATATGAAGTCTAAAGTTAATGAAAAAACGCAGAGAACACAGCACCCTATCTGAACAGATGTCTCCCAACAGTCATATCCCATTCTCATACTTGTTGCGAACATCTATATATACATCCATCTGTATGGCATTTAAGACACAGAAAAATCAATATTCTTCTTCTACAATCACAAATATCCTTTTTGAGAGAACCACACAAAAATTCGCCAGAAGTTAAGTTTTTCTGGTGCTGGAATTCTAACTTGATCGTTGAATTCTGGTGAAGCAGACGTCCGTAGAACTACAAGCACTGAGTAGGGGCGAAATTTATGTTCAAGGACATTGCGGTACGCAAGCCTCGATCTTCAATATTTCTGTTTAATATTATTTTATTGTTCATATACTGTTTATTTATTAGCATATATAAATTTATCACATATTGTTGACATATCTCTAACAGCTACCTCTGCAATGTTGATTCGTAATTTTCCTATAGTGGTGCCAGCAACCTTTTTCTCCTTGGAGTCGTCCGAGCCTACAATTGCAATGTCTAATATTATATCACCCCGCTCCTCAACTTTTATATTTTTTTTCTGTGTGCCATTGCTATGTTTTTCTTTATTTTGCTCACTCGGAATATTATTCGGCAAAATGCTAATTTTTCACATCTAATGTTTGGTTTAGCCAATATCTGCACAATTAGGGTGTTGAGTCGATCATTATTTTTTGTTTTTTAGTAGGAGTAGGATTTTCTCCTCTCTTATTCACATCATCTTCCCTCCTCTTCTCTCACACATTGCTTTTTTATCTTATTGTCTTTATAAAAAAATCAATATAAAATGTTGATATGACTTAACCATAACCGTTCAAGTAGGAGAGGGGGGAATAGGAGAGAGATTAGGAGAGGAGATAATCTTCCTCCGTTTTAGCATGTGATATTCACCTTAAAAAAAGATTGACCTATAATTGTATAAATAGTCCTCGTGATGATATGATATTCAGAAGATAGCCCATGTGGTAAAAAAATTCGGATTTATGTTCTTGTGGGAAAGTCCGTTATGATTTAAGCCCAAAAATCAATTTTCTGTTATTTCACGTGCATGTGATATAATCATATAATCGCTGACCTAATGATGATTTTGTGTTTATTGATTTGTTAGCTGTGTTTGTAATCCTTTTGCTATGTGGTTTTGCTGTGGGGAAGGAACGTACAAACATCCTACTCCTTTTCAGCCTATGTACAAACATCCTTACTCCTTTTCAGCCTATGACACATCCCTATGTGGTCTTGTTTGTAAATTTTCGTGGAATTTCTAATCACGTTAAATGTATAGTGTAAAGCAGCAATTTTCAAACCGTACAATAATACATGAGATGTTTTTTCATCACATGGAGTTGTCAATTTTCAGAACAGGAAGACAATAATTGGACTGAAGTCTGAAGTGGTATTATTCAAAGCAGAAGCCTGCCCTTTCCTCCCGGCCGGCTTCCCTACTCTTCCTTTCTCTCCTCAAATCGTAACATAGAAGTGACGATATCCTCAGTATATGATTCCATACACGTATTGCCTCTGGCACGGCTGCCGGTTAGTTATGTAAGAGCAACTCCAGTGTAGGAGCCCTCCCCCAGGCTATTCACTATTTAATCCACCTAGTGAACAGTAACTGCCCTTAATGAATAGTGCATTCCCCTGGCAATTGCCTTTTGCATCTCCACCTCTGCACTGAATAACCATGGCAATTGGCAATAAAATATTAGTATTTTTTTTATTTATAATTAATATTATATTATTTACTTTGTATAAATTAATATTATATTAATATTATAAAGGAATCCAACACTATCTCCAACAGTTCACCACAACTAAAAAAAACAAAAA